AACCTCAAGGCTTCATGGGGCCGTCGTTTTAGGGTTTGGGGTTTTAGGGTTTAGGGTTTAGGGTTTAGGGTTTAGGGTTTAGGGCTTAGGGCTTAGGGCTTAGGGCTTAGGGCTTAGGGCTTAGGGCAGCAGCATGGCAGCCTCCGAAGAGACCACTTGGCAGGTTTCACTTTGGCCACGAGGGCTACCCACTCCGTTCCAGAGCTAAGTCGTCACCCAACCAACAGAACCCGAAACCCAACAACCCGCACCGACCATAACACGTGGTAATAGTAAGTAGACGTCGTCGTAGCAGCAGCGGCGGCAGCAATGGTCGTTCTGTCACCACTGTTGCTCATCTCCCGGCTGCTGTTCTCATGGATGCTACTATTATCCAAGAATGGGGCTTTCCCCGCTCGCCATGCTCCGTCGATTCTTGTTTCACCTTCTGACTTTGCTCAAGAACGCATTGCATGACAACAGCTTAAGGCTTCAGGACTCAGAGTAGCATGCTCGGAGGGTCTTTGACGCCTGGGTCTTCCTGAGGCTTTGGGCGATGGAAGGCTGCTGCGCACAGGCATGAGGCACAAGACTGACACCTCGAAACGGCCGTCATAGTGGCGGCGAGGTCTGCAGGCTTCTGCAACCCTGATGTGCTCCGAGACTCGAGAAGCTTGCCTTCGTCCGAAGCCTACACTCAAGATCCCAGCTAAGTGCAAGCTTCGCGAAGTCCAGATTGGCACTCCTAAACCCAAAGTCCTGGGTGCCCTGCTGTCCGAAACCCAACGCTCGAAAGGCGCGAATCTGAGGCTCGTGCAAGCTTTGCGCCGGCGACCTTTCAATGCAAATCCCACACCCAGACCTAAACCCTAAATCCTAAACCCTAAACCCTTAAACAACCTAGGATCCTAAAAACCTTCAACCCAACAGAAAAGCGTCCGAAGCACCCCTGAGACGAGACCCACAAAACGCGAAATGCGAGGCTCCCGGAGACCTGCTAGTAATGCTAAGTACTACTGCTACTACTTCTACTTCTACTGCTGCTTCAGCCAGTCAGTAGAAGGGTACGTTTGGTGCTGCCAAAACGGAGAAGACACAACCAAAACGTCTCCAGACATGAGAACAAAACCTGTCTCATGACTTCCCATGAGGAGGGAACTGAAATCCTATGTAAGCCCCAGACTTTCTTTGCCATCATCTGCGCGGCAGCATGGAAGGACTTGTCCTGCTCCTTGAATCACAGTACAAGAGAAAACGCCATGTGCTCAATTACCAAGATCGGCGATGCAGGTCTGATGCTAGTTTCGGACTTGGAGCAAAAATGTGCCTTCATATTCAGCGATCTGATTTGATGCGACAGTGACTTGCTCGTGCGCTTTGAGGAGCCAGTCTTCGGAGACAAGACCCTCAACCCTTAAGTCGTAAAACCACAAGACCCCTCGATCCTAAACCCTAAACCCTAAACCCTAAACCCCAAGCCCTAAGCCCTAAACCCGAAGTCCTGGGACCCTAGACTCAGAGACTCCATTATCCCTTCATTAAGGAATATACCGTAAATTATAGTAGGATCCCTAATATGGTTTAAGGTATATTCCTTAATTAAGGGGTATTGGAGTCTCTGAGGACCTAGACCCTAAACCCTAAACCCTAAACCCTAAACCCTAAACCCTAAACCCTAAACCCTAAAGCCTAAAGCCCTAAGCCCCAAACCCTA